TTACTCGCGTTTGCTTGCCGAGTGCGCACCCGTCGCACACCTCCCACTGCTTCACCGACGTCATTGGGATGCCAGTGCCGTAGCCCTTCTTGACGATGGCGTCGAGACCACCATGGCCGATGTGACCAAGTCGAAGGTGCCAGAGGTACGATGTGGTGTCCCCTTGGCGATTCTTCGAGCTTGCCGCATTGGCCTCGTCAGCAGGCGTCCTCGGCGTCATGCAGAGCTTGAACAGTCCTTTGCCTTCGCGAGCGCCGAGCTTCCACTTGAGACCCTTCGTTTCCGCGAAGCACCCGTCGCTCTCGAAGGTCACTGGCCCGACGTCCTTGGTGAAGCGGCCGACGGAGAACAGGTTGCGCGACAGCTTCGGGATGTGCCACACACCCGTGAGCACACCCTTCTTCATGCCGCGCGGTGTCTGCATCGACATCACGATGTCGCCGCTCCCCACCGCCTGAACCACGCCGTCGTCCGCCAGATGCACGTCCACCGGAGAGATCTTCTTGTAGTTCTTCATGTACTCCTTCGAGTACGTCATGTGCTGCGTCGCACCTGAGTCGACCAGCCACATGCCGCTCAGCTTGGAGGAACCCGTGTCGCCACCAACCGAGAAGAGGAAGTCGCCAGAGTCATCTTCGACCTGCGCGACGTTGGCTCGTTGCGGCCTCTGCCGCTCCCCGTTCTCGCGGATCCGCACCGGACACTTGGCGATCCAATGTTCGTGCTCGCCGCAGTAGTGACAGGCGCTCGTCCTCTGCGCTTGCGCCTGCCGTCCCTTGCGCTTCCCGTTGTCGCTTGTCATGAACGCTTGACCTTAAGCGTGCGCGGTTCCGTCAGCACCGCCATCTTGTTCCTTGCGCTTCATGTCCTCGTGCAGGAGCCGAGACGTCACGAGCTCCCACGTCAGCGTGTCGGAACGCGATTCCAACGCCGTGATGAGGAACTGGTACGACTCGCTCAGACTGGCAAGAAGCGTGATCACCAAGTCGTCCTCGCTGACCGGAGCGCCGACCGCGTCGAGCTGTTCCGCCAGCGTCTTGAGCTTGTTAATGTGCTCCAGCACATCATCACCTTCGTCCATCGTTGTCGTGAAGAACCGTCGACGAAGAAAGAGCTTGTTCGCCAGGCTCTTCTTCTCGAAGTGTCCCTCGAGTCTTGACCATGCATCATGCGCGTCCTTCGCCGACCGCACCAGCGGCAGCTGCGAGTCCTCCAACGCGAGACAGACGATCGCCAGCGCCTTGAGCGACTTCTTGCGAAACGTCGCTTGGTCCGCCGCGGTCGTGCACTGCTCGAACTTCACTTCCCCACTCGTCACTTCCCACAGTTCGCGCTCCTCCAGCACCATCTGCATCTTGAACTTCCATGTGTGGAAGTTGGTTCCGTCGAACTTGTTGATGCGGGCGGTCGCGGTCGGGGCGGCGTCCATGGCGAAGGCGTAGTCGGGGTCTTGGTCAGGGAAGACGGGGCTTGGGCTCATAACCAAAAGGAAGAGCACTTGAGCAGTAGTTGGCAAAATGCAAAGTGATTCGATTCAGGTCCTTAGTTCGCAACCGCGTGCTACCTCTAAGCCTGCTACTGGATACCTCTTACTGGATACACCCTACTGGATTCTCTACTGGATACACAGTTACCTTATCCAATCAGAGAACGCCACGTCGATGCCCATCTTGTACCCACAATCTTGGCGTAATCACCGTGACGTAATCATCGTCCCGTAATCACCTGAATGATTGCGGTACAACACAGTGAAGGTCACGCCGACCTCACTGATGACGCGTTCGCGTCACACGGTCGCTTGGCGAGGCGTCGTCACATCAGTCTTGACAACAGATACTACGTTGTAGGACAAGTTTAATGCGTAAGAGAAAGCTTACATGTTCAACTTGTACTGTATTGTTTGTTATTCTAGTCCTAATATGCGTGGAGTGAAACAACATGTGCACCTAGTATCACTACCAACCATGCGTGCAGATGCGCGACGACTGCCCTGAAGGGAGCTGCTCACGCGGAACAACAACAACCTATCGTAGCTTGCTGTTGTTCCGCGTTGAGCACTACGTAGTGGGCGGCGTCACTTGCTGTCCGCAAGTTTAATCCTCTCGCTGGCGATGGCGTCGCCCTTGCGCTTGAACTTGTCCCGCGACGACAGCGAGTGGCGGCGAAACTCCGAGTGGACCAACGGCGACGCCTCGCTGTCGCTGAGCGCCCCCATGACGCTCCGCGTCGATGCTCTTGTGCTCGGCGAGCACCCCTGTGTGCTGCTTCCAGCTTCATAACCTCTACACAGCAGCGTAGACACTTCAGCATTTAGAGTTAGTACGTCAACCATGCCACAAAAGATGGGCCATAACAATTTAGAGAGTTAGTAGATCAAACAAGGCGTAAATGCTGCTGCTCACTACACCACAGTCACGTGAGGCGAAGCACTGTATTGGTGGAGCTGAAGCTCGAAACCCGCAATAGTACCATGAGAAGACGTTGAATAAACGTAGCGAATTAGGTAGTAAATTAGAGTTCATTAGATGTGTGATGTCATGGCCTAATAGTTCTGCCTGAGGAACTTGGCTTCTGCTGCTATCCTTGCGCTCAATAACACCAACAGCATCATCGACTTCACATTGCACTTCAATCGCATTTAGTGGTCACGCAGATAGAGACTCGTGGGTTCCCGGCAAATCAACTTGTGGAACCAGTGCGTTTCACTGCGAAATTGGTGGATCCGGCCAGCTGTTGAACACACATTTTAAGAATTGACGGTTTTGCTAAAGACCTCTAATTAATCGATACTTTTGCGAGTACGCGTTACACGCACGGCTTCATGCGACACCGAATAGGCAACCCGGAGCGTTGCTCCGGGAGGGTACACAGGTCGGCGAATAGTTTCATGGACGATGATAACGGATAACAATTGAGTAAATCCCAAAGTTGTGTTGTTTTTAATCCTTTTAAGGATTTTAAAAGAGCACTACCAGCCGAACTCTCTAGTTGATTCTAACGTGGGCATCTACTGCGCCTGCTTCGCAGCCCGGGAATAACACCCTGGTCAGCGTCCAATGGCTGCGTTGATGCCAGCAACGAGAGAGCTATTTCATTCAGTTTGCAGGTAAGGTATACTGTGCTCATTTAGTACTATTTTGTGTGCTAACAACGATCAGACGAGAGAGCTAGTGGAACGAAGGAGAGGTGCATGGTGCGCTGATCTTGCCTTTTAACTTGAGGGTAAAGTGCGGGATGAGAAATACGTTAATGTGCCAAGTCCTTGGAAGTGGGCAGGTAAAGAAAGCCTAATTCAAACGAACGATGCTCGTGTCACTGTCGAGTTGAGCTGGTTGGTTTGGCGAGAGACACGAGGTTGGGCATCTTCGGCTAAGTGATTGAGTATTGAGCAAATTGACATGTAAAAAAATGCAGCCTGCAGCTAGACAAGTCATATTGGTCATCTTCAGCTAAGCTTGGTCGATTATGGCGCAAATTGATACGCCTTCAGCGAGGCCATGACGCTCTCATAGTGTACTGGAGCGTCCGTAAGTGTTTGGACGCAGGTTTTGGTAAAGAAAGAACGATTATTATCAACCTTTGGTAAATATTGTGCATAAATCTTAACATTTATCGACGGGTACCCGATTCCGGCAGATATTAGCTTAAACATTACAATTAAGAAAGAGAGACCCGGTTTGGTACCCGGTTTTGGAAAGTTACAAGTTTTTTGCCGGGGCCAAGCACAGGTCTTCGACCTGTGAAATCCCCTGCCGGCTGCGCAGCAGCATACCTTATGGTTCACTTGCTATCTCAGTAAAATTTGAAGCGTTTGGGCTTCGCCTACCGAATACTTAAGGCGGGCCCGCCCACGCGATTCGGCGCCAGTGATTCACCCTGGAGCCGCTGATACGGCGCGGGGGCGCAAGAATGCGATGCAGCGAGAGCAGCGAGCTCGTCAGCGCGAACGGCCTTGGGTAGAGTTGGCGCAGGAGCATGTTGCAGATTTGATCGCCATTAATGCAGCCCGGGTGATGAACAATACTCAACGCCAAAGCCGACGCATGGAGGAGACGGAGAGTGATAGGCAGCAACGCTTGCTGAGACAAAGGACAAGCCGTCAGGCAAAGGTTGCTAGCTGTCGAGAGGAGGATAGACGAGTTGGAGAGCAGTTGTCTGCGCGAGTAATCGTGGCTTGTGACCTGACGGAGGATGAAATTCCGTGGATGGCGAAAAAACAACATTTTTTGCAAGTTCTGCGCCTCGCGCTTGCATATTACTATTGCTGCGGAACAGATCCCCGCTCGTTTGTTTTTGGAGATGAACAGGTAGGGAGCGAGGAAGGAGCAGGCACACGCGATCGGATCTCTAAACTACTGGATGATTATCCGAGGGCAAGTGATATTGCGGATTGTCAGCGGTTAGTAAACGAACATGCTTCAGAGTCAACCTCCATTTGGGCATGCGCGGCTTGCGGGCGCATTCTACTGGAAAACAAGTCGGAGAAGGTGTTTTTTCGTCATTGGAGGACCTGCGACCTAGTGTCATGCTTTCCGCTCCCGAGTTAAAAAAGCTCTATATCGATTCCTCGGAGGCAATGGTCCGAAAGTACCGACAACTGTTTTTTTTTATCGTGATGAAGTGTATTATTTGATTCCGGAGCTTGTTAGAGACCGCGAAAAAATACCATTGTGCCAGAGGTGCCACGGCGATCCTCGCAAAAACAAATTTAGTGTAGCTGCGGGCCATGATTATGGTCGAATCGCAGAGCTACCTGTTCTCAATGATGTGGCGATGGCGTGTGTTTCTCCGGCCCGCTGTTTTGGATTGGAGTTGTCGCTGTCGGGGAAACATTCGTCCGGTCACGCGATATGTTTCCCAACGAACAGCCCTTGGGCGCTAGCTCGTGTTCTGCCGAATGTTGACGATGTAAGCACGCGCGTCACTTTTATCGGGCCGATGGAGACGTAAAGGAAAAAAGTTCTCAAGCTATTTGAAATTCCAGTTGATTGTGTGTACCAATGGCTCGAGGTTTTTGTGAATCCTCCACGAGCCTGCACTTGCCCGTGCTGACCAACTGCGCGAATGGTACGGTGCCCTGTTGCCTGGCCATGTCTTCGCGCCCCTCGTCGTGCCTTAAGTCGAACTTTGAGATATTAAAGTCACACCAGTTTCTAGTTTTCTTTGGGACGAAGTCCCCTCTATAATAGCGCGTTACTCTAATTTAGCTGTTTTTACAACTCAGATTTACTTTTTACCAAGGGTCGATATCAATTACTAGAATGGGTTAGGGTCACAATTTATAATCGACTGCGGCCGAAAACGACGAAAAAAACCGGGGTTTAGTACCGCAATGGCTATTAATAGAAGGTAGAATCAGTCAGTTTCATTTCTAAATGAACTGTTGTCACTAACTAATAATGCCATAAAACCCGAGGGTCGAAGTTACGAAACAGTGATTGCGACGGTTAGTATGGAGGATATCAGAAATACCTTAAAATGCGATGTTTTAACCCTTTCGCGAGTATCCTCAATAAATGATAGTATACAACTCATTGATATTTCCTTCTAAAAGGGCGCTCTAGGCGTCCTTTTACAAAGTTACGGAGCCTTTTTGGTGTGTCTCATGGGACATGCCATCTACGGTGATTTGCAGGATACATAGATTGTATGCGTATGACTCAGAATTTGTATTGACAATGATTACATGATGATTGCTCTGCGTACCGATTATGATTTGTTTTAAAAAAAGGTTGATTACTAGCTTGAACTTGTGCAAAAGGGCACAGGATGCGCCCTTTAAGAGGGGGTACACTCTACCGTGTTTTGGAAAATCATCTGAAGGGCGCTTTCTGTATCCTTTTACCGCGAAAGGGTTAACTCAACTTGGAGATCCTTAGGACCCCTTGTTAAGGCTATATTACCTGTCAAACCTTATGCCTGCGTAAAAAGGGTAGCCTGTAAAAAGTCTGGAGCGACCCTCTACACAGCGAGCCGCCATCATATCGAAACGACCACAGCCGACAAGTTCGCCATAGCGTACCAGCAGCTGGTCGAGACGATCAAGGTGGGCGACACAGTGCTGCCTGACGGACGGACACATCCGCCAGGCGTGCACGGCCGTGGGTCAGGGCGAGATCACGTGCCACGGAGGAGATCGGCATCCGCAAGGGCGTGAACCTGCCCGGCCTCATCGTGGAGCTGCCGGCGCTGTCGGAGAAGGCCAAGCGCGACCTGGAATGGGGCGTGGAGCTCGACATCGACTTCATCGCGGCGTCCTTCATTTGCAAGGCCAGCGGCGTGCACGAGATCCGCGCGTTCGTGAACGAGTGCATTAAGAAGACTAAGTGCATCGCGCCCAATATCATCTCTAAGGCGGAGAGCTTCGAGGGTGTGTAGAACTTCGAGGAGATCCTCGAGGCCTCGGGCGGCATCATGTGCGTGGAGGTGACCACCCAGCACGTTCTGGCGTACCAGAAGATGGTGGCGAGCCGCTGCAACGCCGTGGGCAAGCCCATAAATGTAGCCACGCAGATGCTCGAGTACACGCAGAACAACCTGCGCCCGACGCGCACCAAGGTCTCGGAGGTGGGCAGCGCCGTGCTGGACGGCGCCGACTGCGTCATGCCTAGCGGCGAGTTGGTGGCTACCATGAGCATGGCCGTCAAGGAGACCAACGAGCTACTGCTGCAGCCCACGTACCGCGCCAAGTTCCGGTTCGACCTGCGCACGTCGACCGTCAAGACGGCCAATGAGATGCACGTGCAGCTCATTTTTTGTGCTAACCTCCACGGGCTACACGGCGCGCAAGGTGACCAAGTACAAGCGCGCTTAAATACGGTCGTGAGCTACGTGATCCTCGCGGGCGAGGTTTACTTCGAGGAACCAACGGCGGCGAGGTGATTTAACACCTGCGATCGCCGGCTCCGTCAAGCGTTTTGGTCCCGGCAGCAGTCAATGGCGTGATCCACATCACGCCATTGCGTGCGGCGGCATTTGCCATTAAGTAAGGATACTTTATGCCATGTACTTGTAAACATTACAGATAGCCTTCAATTTCATTTGCAATTTGTTCCGTGCTAGAGTTCCTATAGTTCTATTGGTCGGTCGCGATAGCTGTAGTATCGTGTTGAACGAGGCGTCGGCTCAGACATGGGGGAGCAGGGGAATCAATGAAATTGGCGCAATTAGTTGAAGTGTAGTAGCTCGGCTGAGTTTGGTGTGGCTCGCAGAGTGGCAACCGAGTGCTCTACTCTTCCGTCGTGATGGGGGCGCGAAGTTCGCTGGCTTTGGATGCGTGCGTTTTAGGCAACGAGTGTGTGCATGGTTGTTTGGGTGCCACTTTTTTTATTGCCGACTAGCCACTTCTGAAATTAATTAACCGAATAAGCTTAGCCACTTTTTGGGTAGCTTGGTGTCGTACTTAAATGAGAACGATACCGCTGCAGGCGGGTCCTGCCAACTACCGAGCGAAGCGAGGTGCTCCCCCTTCGGGGGAGGTAGAGGGGGGTCTAGGGATTTGTGCCCCAAGGGTAAAGGGGGTTTAGGGATCAGGGTGTACATATAATGCCAAGGCGACTTAATGTTGAAGCTAGAACGCTACTTGTGGTTGTTTTGGCTCTGGCGCATTCGTCTCTGCCTGCCTGAGCGAGGTCGTGGAAAGATGGCATTCGTGTTCATTGCAGTCGCTGCAGCGACTAGCGTAGTGTGTGGATAGCTGTAAATGATCAATCTAAGTCTATTAGTTCGGCGCTCGTTCTGGGCTGTAAAGCGTGCGTCCGAAGACGCTATACGAACGGCTGCGCAACAGCACAGAATGTTGCGCTGACAGTGCATTCAACACGCTCGGATCTTGCTCCTTGTCCATCAGAGGGAGGCTCATCAGGTTGAGCGCCGCTGCCACACTCGGAAGTTCCGACAGATTTTCGGTAAATGCGGCTGGGTGTTGGTCGTTACCTAGATAGGTAGGTTAAATGTATTTGTGACGAGGGCCGAGAGAATTTTTCTCCCGACCACGTCTGTCGTCTGCCTGAGTTCATCTCGCCCAAGCCCGGTAACAGGATTATCGTTGGAGTTTGGTGGTGCATCGGTGCTTACAGCCTTTGAGCATCCGAGAACATGGACCTGAGCTGATGTTGGTGTCATGCAGTCTCCGCTCAGAATCTGTGCTGGGTGGTCAAGCGTTTGGGGTCTGGGATGTTTGGCACTAAGCGTCTCCGGTCTGAGCTGATCCCTGATGTCTGACCGATGGCTTCTGCAGCAGCCGCAAGCATGAGTTCGGCATCCACCGTGACCATGTCGTCTTCGACCAGATCGTCGAGCTGAGCAGAGGCGCTGATGTCTGAGCGGAGCCGGGTGGAGTTCGAGCTCAACCTCCCCCAGTGATTATGGAGTGGTTGTCCAAGATGCCGAGCTGAGTCGAGGAGCAGGCGTCCGAGCGGGGTCGTGCCGAGCCCGATTCTAGCTTCTACTGTGGTCATAGAGTCTTCACCCAAGTCGACAAGTTGGGCGAGGATCGAAGGTCTGAGCGGAGCGACGTGGAGTCTGAGCACAGCCTCGATGTGATGCCGGAGTCTCCGCTCAAGTCGAGAAGCTGAGCGGAGCGTCGTGGACCTGAGCGGAGTGGCATGGGTCTGAGCGGAGTTTCCGGAGTCCAGTTGAAGTGCCGGGTGAAGAGTCGCTGAACTTAAGTCCAGACAGTGGTACTGACGGCGAAGTTGGTGGCACCGGCGAGTACACTCATCCGGCGAATCAGCCATGAGCCGGCCTACATTGGGTGCGACTGCTCAAGATCGCGGACCCTTCCAGCATCTTCAACAGCACCAACGCTCCACGTGCCAACATGGAGCCTCGCATTGGTCAAGACAAAGATATAAGCGGACCTCAAGCGGATCTCAAGCGCGCTTTGGTAAGCATACAGCCGACGATCTTCGCGCAGCCAGTCAGTGTGTACCCAGGGGGATATCACGCCCCCACTTAGTGAGTCCTAGTTTGTGCATGTGTAAACATTAAAACAGAGTTCGTTTTGCCCCGAAGGACGCAAGTGGTGGAGGTCTTTGGCCAGAAGGTGTCTTGGCGATCATCCACACAAATTCAAGCTAACATATCAACGTTGTCAGAGTGCCTCGGAGCGACGGCAGTACGGTTATTTCATATTACTGTTACATCTTAGGGTGTATTTCGTATTTTCGGGTGGAAGGTGATCCATTCTGAGGTTTAGGCAGGGTAATTGTATTGTGTGCTTGGGGACATTGGCGTGTCCCGGTGCATTGTGTGATTATTAGTATCGGTTCATTGTGGACCTGGTGCGCGGGTAGTCCCAGGGTGTGTGTGAGTGCCTTATATTCGGACTAGGCTCAAACCGAGTCACTAACTCCAGACCGGGTCGTTGCTTGACTCGAAGAGAAGAAAGGAGAAGCTGGTACGAGCCTCGCCCAGGCTCAGAGAAATAAAGGCGAACTCGGCCCAGACCCAGGCCGACCGGGAAAGAAGGGGTGTTGTGGTTCTGAGCCGGAACCAAAGAGAGGAAGTGGAGGCTATATTGTGTGTGGTGTTGTGTTCATTAAGGAAAACCCGGGGCATTTCGGGCTGTTGACACGTGCGGACTGGGACTCGCCAAGTGGGGAGCGAGTTTCGTCTGGGAACACCTCCGGAGACCTTCAACATCGACAGCAGCTGGTGTGGCCGACGCGAGCCTGGGCCCACAGCGTAGCCGTGATCAAAAGAACCGCCAAGGGGATCGCAGAATGAGGAACACACGCCTCGCCCGACCCGAGTCGGAGCTGAGCCAAGCGTTTAAGCGGCTAAGCCTAGCGAAGTGGAGTGGGAGTGTTCACTCAGTGGAAGGAGCTGAGCGGAACTCTTGCAGCGCTAAGCCGGGCTGAGCCAAGTGGTGCAAGGGCTGAGCGAAGACCAAGGTCGAGCGGTCTAGCAACCTGAGCCTTCAAAAAGCACGGGCGCTTCGTCACATACTCAATCTCACCTCAACCTTGAAATAAATGTGGCTGGACTTACAACAATAAAAGGTTAGAAGTGATAGATACTACATCCGATCCATACCATACCATTCCATACCATACCATACCATACCATACCATACCATACCATACCATACCATACCATACCAGAGACATATCGATTTGTCAGTCTGGGTGATTTACTGCTCTCCTATCCATATATATGGATATCTTTCTTGAAGACCTACCTTTGGCGTGTTCTCGCCTCTCCGGGTACCAGTTGCCGGCTTCATATTGGCCATTCTGACCAGATCGACTGGGGGACGTCGGCCAAAACTATGTGGTATACATAGTTTGAGGCGTCGGCCCCAAAGCAACATGCCGAAGCGCAGCGAACGTGGTGCTCAACTAGTTTTAATACACGATTGCTAAATACGCTCCGTAAGGTATCATGCGCGGTAATATTCCGTTTGCCTCACACTATAGAACTTTAGCTATCCCAGCCTACTCAAAGCTCTCGTAAACCCCGTCGTGTTGACCCATGTGCTCTTGGAAAAACTAGTTATTAGGGTCTGGGTCCTGTTCGAGGCGGCCAAACATTTACTCATCGAGCCTGATTGTTCTAATACTTTTTGCTCTAACGTCGTAGAGCATTTTTACGCTCTCGAGCTGCATCTGCGGCCCCGACACCACGACGCTCCTGGTCCTGCTCATCACCGCCGGACCCGTCGAGCCATGCGCGCCTTTGTTCGTCCATGCTGGCGGAAGTGTGTCTGCACGCGCATGCCTTTCCGCTCGGGCGCCTGGTCCACGGCCATCATAAGTGTCTGTAGCTGTAGTCCGGGAGTCCGTCTCGATCGTCTCGATGGATTAAGAGCGGCCCCATTCAGCATTCAGACTCAATACTGAGACCAAACCGGTTACTGGAGCCAGTTTTTCGGCTTCAGTTTTACCGGCTTCAGTTACCGGAGTGCCGGCTAATTAATCTGTGTTGGGCTGGCCACAGCATACCCCAGAGTTACTGCTATCCCAGAAAAATTTCCTCTCTTGAACCAGACTGCTGAAAGCTTTGAGTAAATCTTTTTTCTAGCTTTTGAAATAACGGAGCTACATCATGAAGAATGCATATTTACCTTTCTAGCAAATGGTAACAAGAGAGCCAAACGCGCTACACCCAAAACAATCTTCCTGTGAAGTACAGTAAAATGCCCCACGTAGTTTGCACATTCACTAAAATGCCTCGATGGGAACAAAGACAACTACAGCTCCCTCTTTTTCGCAAGATAGCCGTAAATTTGATGGTGGGATAGGGTTTACCTTTTTGCATTACGCGAGAAAGATGAAAACCACCCATGAGCAGGTCTGCGATGCAATGAAACGTATGCATATACATGCGGTAAGATATTTGTGTCGAAAAATCTTATGATACACAGATATTAGGGGGTTTCAAAGTAGCGATTTTTTGGACAGATCTTTTGCAAAGGATTTGAAAAAGATCAGACCAAAAATCAGACAAACGATGAGCCTCCGGAGGCTCATCGTTCGTCTGAATTTTTGCCGAGCTTATTTTTTGGTGACAGCCAAAAGCCAACCATAGAGCGGCACCAAGACGCCGCTTGAAGCCGACGCAGAGCAGCACCTAGAAGGCGGCCGGGCGCCGCGCGCACACCAACATGACGCCAAAGACGCCGAGTTGGCGGGTGGTGCCTTGGTCAGCTGTTAGCTGCTGCTGGGGTGGCGAGCGGAGGCTTCAAGCTGTTGCTCCGGTTGCGAGCGTTGGCCTCCAGCTTGGAGGACCAAGAGCAAATCCTTAGGTCATAGCAAAACCGAACAGCAACGTCGCGATACGACGCTGCGATGGTCAAAAGATGAATATTTATCACGAGGGTACCACAACGAAGGGTGAATTTATCACGAGGGACCATAATCGATATGATTGGCCAAAAACATTAGGTGCTTCAGTAGAGAATATTTGCAACTTACTAGAAAAAGAACTTGAGCGAGCGCGCGCCAGTGCTGCTGGGCCCCACTGCGGTGGGCCTCATATCTGATCGTTCGTGGCCACGCCTTCGGCAAGACGCACGGAGCGATGGCTCCTGGACGTTCACGCACAGTGGCGCAAGGTGCCCAACACAACGCTGCCCGTTTGCATGCCCACGGCCGACATCGCGCTGTTGCATTTTCATGCTCGGAACACAACCACTTCTTGTAATCTCCACATCCCTTGTTGCGCCAAACACTCTTGTTTAGATTGAATGCGTAGCGTCTGACAAATGACCCTGCCGTTTCTAGCTTCGCAAAGTGTATGCCCACTGCCGGTGCTTCATGGCCAAAGCGAGATACGACATCGAGCTTGCTGACAAGAGTACCCGTCTTGGGCACCAACGTTTTCCTGAAAGCACCAAATAATTTCGCGCAAAACACCAACTACTCGCGTGCGTTTCACCAACCAATGTATCCCGGAAGAACACCAACTCATTCCGTCAAATCACCCACCTAAGCCTAAACTAAGATCGAGGTTCGGCATCAAGACGCTGCCGGTGCGCACGAATACTGGCGGTTACGGCTACTGGCGCAGCTCCGACCGCTCCGCGGAGCCTCGTACCCGCGGCCGCATGGCGTGCTGGACGTGGCCAAGCTGCCCAAGAACTTCGACTGGCGCAACGTCGACAACACCAACAACATCACCATCTCGCGCAACCTGCTCATCCCGCACTATTACAGCTCATTCTGGTCCTTGCAAGCCACCGAATGGGTTAGTGCGATGGTAGTGGCGATCTGAGTAGTGTACGACATAATTGGTGGTGCAAACGGTGTTCATTGGTGGAAGTCCGGTAACGCTTGGTGGGTATTTCGTCCGGAATTATTTGGTGGTTTTCCGTAAACGTTTGGTGCTACGTCCAATATCACTGGTGCCGTGCGCGGATCCTCTTCCTTGGGGGGCACTCATGATGGTGTTGTGAAGTACTAGTAGCACTGTGGTTTTAGTTGTTGAGTCTATGACTATAGTTAGTATGGCCAGACTAACGCTAAGCGCGTGAAGCACCTAATGTTTTTGGTCAATCATATCGATTATGGTCCCTCGTGATAAATTCACCCTTCGTTGTGGTACCCTCGTGATAAATATCCGTCAAAAGATCAGACCCATCCTTTGCAAAAGATCTGTCCAAAAAATCGCTACTTTGAAACCCCCTATTTGTGTCGAAAAATCTTATGATAATCGTTATCCTTTACTATCCAGCTTAAAAGCCCACGCGTGAGATCGGCAAATATCCCACGGGTGGGCTCAAGCTGATTAGTTGAATGCATGAGTAAATGTATTAGAAAGAGCGTTTAGAGGTTACTAGTTAGACCAATGTAGTGTTTAAATGGAGTGAGTGGCAGTCCCGACCTGTCTTCAGGCCGCAAACCTCAAAGAAATTGTTTTCCAGTGGATCAGAGCACCCGGAGCAGTAATATGAGGCCTTCCGCCCGCAAATACTGCATTTGCGCTGCGCACGCAAGATTGTCCCGCTAAGACGCTTGTACCGGGGAAGCGTACTAAATGCATAGAGTGTGTGAGTTGGGGGCGCTACGTCGTCACGGAAATCAGCAGCAATAGTGACCCTCGTCGAGCGGTGCATCACAAAGTCGTTGAATACCAGTTGATAGGCCAACTGAGAGATGAATGTGTTGAAGTTGACAATAGCCGATTCTAAGAACCCCGATTCGACTGCTTTATACTGATCCACCACCACCATACTCTGGGACCTCGAATCGTGTACGTTGTGGATTTGTGGGTCACGAACATTGGAGAAGACGTGGACGTGTTGCTCGGGATGGATTTCATGTACTGTGCCGGAGTCAGGCTCAGCATCCGGAAGGACTCATTATGCTTCCTGATGAAGAGACGATTCTCATGTACGGTGATGCGATCCAGAAGGGTTACGGTATGGACATCCCGGTTGTCTCCCCTCACGACTTATACCTTGTTCTCATCATGTCAACGACCCATCTTTCGTCGCATTCACCGTCACATTTAGGTTCATCATAGCGTCCGCACCCTGAAAGTGCGTCGTCTCCACTCGATACTCTCCAAATTTCCATTCGTAATCAAAACATGTTCAGTCGTCTCACAACTTGCGGGTACGGTCGGTTGAGCTTCCTCCATTCAGGACGGCTATTGCCTGGGGTGATCGTCTCCAGCCTGCATAGCCTGGAAACGTGCCCTAGCCTTCGCCCCTTGGTTGAACTCGTACAGTAGCGCCCCACAGCTGAGTTGGGACAGCGGGATCCATTCGGGGTCTGCATACCCCTTCCACTTGATCAGGTATTCTCGAGTGCGCTTGGATATCCGCGTCCTCTTGATCCATCTCAAATCCAGAATCTTCTCGACCTCGTACTCATCATTGGCATGATCGGGTTCCCAACTGTCCTCGGGCAGTAGCGCGGCGTTGAAATCATCCTCATCATCGAGGTCCAGCTCAATCGTGGGCCGTTTCGGGAAGACCGCCCTCGGTTTGAGACGACTCACGTGGACCCATGGGTTAACCCGGTAGCCGGTGTCCTCGATCTTGAGGCGCACCCGAAAATCATCCCGAATCTCATCAATGCGGAACGGGCCATGCCACAGGTGGGCTAGTTTTCGGCTCAATCCAGGCTGGACCTTCGGGATGTGGAGCCATACGGCATCTCCCTTCTCGAATCCCTGGTATTCCAAGGGCCCCATGGGTGGGCGTTCATCCTGCGTGTGTCCTGCCTGAGTCCTTGTCAGCACCGCCATTACCCGGGCTGCCTCCGTGAGCGGGGCAGATTCCGGGCCGGGGCCCGGCTTCACTTCAGCGGATATTCCGGGAGTGGAGCCAGAAGGACTTTCTGAATCTGCGGGTTGTTCATCTGGGCCAGCAATAATCGTCTTCATCAATTGCTCTCGGATCTTGGACACCACTTCCATGTGCTGTCGCTCCTCGTCATCCTGAATCGCGCAATCTTCGCCCAGGGCCAGTGTCTTAGAGTTCAAGTAGTCCGCGGCCTGGTTATATTCACGCTTGACGTGTACGAGTCGGACTGTCCTGAATTTCTCCTTGAGCACATGGCATTCGGCGAGCCTCCGCTGCAGGTTAGGCTGTTTGCAGTTGATGAGTCCTTGTACTTGCTGAATGACGATCCTTGAGTCACCTACGACCACGAGGTCCGCGATGCCCCGCTGGAGCGCCATGGTCATGCCTTTCAGTAGTCCATAGTACTCCGCGTCGTTGACTGTCACTCCATCCAGGATGTAGCCGCGAGCCTCGATGACAGTCCATTCGGGAAGCTGCCACAGTATACACCCGCAACTTCCTCGTTTCGTGGACGTCTTAGCTGCGCCATCAAAACTCAGTGCGACTCCTGAATAGTCTGGCTCCAACATCTCCACACTCACCACAGGCGGCGCCTTCACTCGCCCCTTGGCCGGGATCAACGATTCGGCCTTGGGCGCTCGACTGTGACGCTGGGAGAGCTTCTGCCGGGGGCGCTGATGAGCGATGACACGCGTCACATTTCCGTGAAACTTGCTCCGTCAAGAGTGTTTGAGTGTGCGGAAAAATATGGTTCTTCAACTCCCAAAGTCGTTTCACGAAAAGACCATCTAGCGGAAAAAGCCGACTGGACGTCAAGTGGCAACATCATTGTGAATGGGGTTGGTGGAGCTGGCGTCGATATTTTCTTTGCTCTGAAGGATGCTCTTTCTGAGAATTTGATTGTCTTTGTGGACCAAAGAAAACGGCATTTCGGTAAATTTCAGCCAAAATCAGCAAGGGAGTATCTTCGCAAGCTGAGGAAATCCCGCCCTGCATTTCTCGAGAAAGGCACGCGTTTGGTGGGAGGGGTCATGAATTGCGTTGCCCCGTCAAATCTTCAGGACTATGTTGTGCCGAGTGATTGCTTCCTCTTGACCCGAGACGAGACGGAGCGGTTCCATGGAACATTGGCGTATCATCCAGCATGTACACCTATCGTCCCAATGAATTCAGCCAACAAAACAGCTCTCAAGTCGGTGCTTAAAGGCAGTGAGGAACATGTTGACAAAGCCGCCGAAGAAATTTTGAGGAAGAGGATGGAACCTAGCGGAGGATTCATCGACTACAAGGCAATGCGTTCACATTTCAAAGTCATGAAGCTGGATGTTGAGGTTGATACCGAGTACGCGGTTTGCACAGGTTAATAGGCTCAATAAGTAAGTTTGTCGGCACAGTTGTTGGCAATTAACAAAAGCATGCAAACTGAAGTTTTGCGAGCTGGAGTAAAACCTGCATCTTGAAGAACCGTGTCAGGAGATAAGCAAAAGCCCTGTAAGACTACCGGCAACTACTTACGTAAAAGCCTAAACCAGAACCCGGAACAACCAGAACGCGCTGCTGCGTCGTGCCGAGCAGCAGACTCAAGAGAAGCAGGCACAACTGGATGAAGCCAATGCTCGAGTGAAGGCGCTGGAGGATGAACTGGCACTGCTCTCGCTCACAAGCGGTTCGAATGACTTTGCCTTGCGGGTCAAGGGGCTTCAGCAGGAGGTTTTCGGTGGTTAGTACACTCTACGTCACAGAAATCTCATTCTCATTTGAGAATCTGCGGCCTTGAGGAACGATGTGGAAGATATTACTCACTTGCGCGATTGTTGGTGTGGGCAGCACGTTCGACGTGGAAGTCGACGATGGCGCGAAGGTGGGCGAGTTGAAGGAACCTATCGAGCAGGAAAACCCGAATACGTTGAAGGATGTCGACGCCCCCAACCTGCAGCTCTTCCTGGCCAAGAAGACTGACGGCAAGTGGTTGAGTGCGACTGATGCGATGGCTGTGACGCTAGACACAACACTCTCGCTGGATCTCGATGAACATGAGCGCCATCAAGGCTTTAAGTGGCTGAACCCCGCGCTTCGTTTCAAGAACCTTAATTACTTTGGAGACAATTTTCAACCGGATGACGATCAAGTTCACGTGCTGGTGGTTGTTCCGAAATGGTCAGCAGCTAAAAGGAAACGCGAGGTCGAAGAAGTCATCTCCGGGTTTGACACGCTCGCAATCGCCCAACTTGCTCACCATCTAAGTGAATCCAAGCTGGCTGTAGAAAGTTTAGTATCGGGACTTCCAGAAAACTTCTTGGACGACTTTGCCCAACGGTTTATACGTTCGTCAAGAGTATTTGGACGTCTATGCGATGATCACGGAGAAACTGGAGTGTGCGCGCAGAGTCCTAGTTATCGGCAGTCCTGGGATTGGGAGGTCGGTGTTTGGAGTGTTCTTGTTCCTCAAGTTCATGACGGAAGGAGGGACGTCGCCTATCATCCTGCAGTTGATTCCAAGATTTACTACTTCACTTGGACCGGGGCAGGAGACTACGAAGCATCGCTTGCGCCTCATCCTGGGAAAACCTACGAGGGCTTCTTTGATGAAAATGACCACAACACCGCGTTTATCTATGGCCATTTTCGCCATGTGTATCTCCTCGCCAGCCCTCGCCGTGAAAACTTCAACCACTTTAGGAAGGATTCGTGCTTTACGGTGTATCTGAATCCATGGACTAAAGCTGAGTGCGAAGAATTCGCCAGTAATATTCACGTGGAGGATGAAGGCGAATGGATTCAGCGATTTAAGCTCTTTGCGGTAAGCCGAGGTTCCTGTTTTCACGGTCGGAATTACTCGAGCTACTGGTAAAACGTGTGGAGGATGAAATTCCGGAGACGGTTGCCGAGTTCAAAGAGGATATATTCTACTCTTCAGGCGGTGTGCGTTTAGTGACACGATGAAGCACCTCATATTCAGTTTGTATCGCGATGTGGCACTGCCCAGCCTCCCCTACGTGGGGTATTCGTCTTTGGCAGTGGAGGCGATTGTCATCACTCGGTATAATGCGAGCTCAGTCGATGAAATCCGCTCGTGGTTGATGACTTCAGAGCAGAATCTGCAGTCGTGGCGAGGGAGAGAAGTCGTTCTGCAAGACCTCACTACCAAGAAGTTTTGTTTGGCATATCTCGATGGACAGGCCGTTGGATGTGCTGAAAATGGGGTCCAATTCAGGAAAAAATCAAGTCTATTCAAGCTACATAAGGGAAAGAATTTTCATCTTATTCGCATAGCCTTCTGTTCATCGTCTCGAGCGACATTTACGACGGGTTTGCGTTGCAGCTCTACCGAAGCAAGAACCGGACGACGTGCAAAGCAACATTTGATATCGAGGTGACGCAGTGTGTCGGAAAGATTACCAGCTATTAGGCGGTAGAACAAGTTACTCCAATACATGATTCACTACTTGCCGAAGCCTTCAGACTGCATCGCTAATGTATGCCACGACGGCTTGGATTTTATTTATCGTCAGATTCTTGCCGAGAGCGAGCCCCAATATTCTCGTTATGTTCGAGCAAGCAAGCATCGATTCCGCCTGCAAGCGTTGTGAGCGCATTGCAGACTGTGTAGTATTATTGCCGCTATCTCGAATACCTAGCGCACTGGGAAATCTAAAGAAGTTTTTCCCCCTTTTTACTGCGCTTGAAGCTACGAGATTCCGGCACGGGGGAAGCTCAGGAGCTTTGTTCGACTCGCTGCATGTTGGAAGTATGATGTTGTTTTATAAGGAAGACCAAACTCAGTAGTTAGCTATTCGTAAGGGGTTGACCTTATTGGCAAGGAGTTGGATACAGTGCTTGCTGTTGATATGTTGAGCACAGCCTCTAAACCAGGCACCAGAAAGCATCCCGCTAGTCGAAGCTCGAATCAACGGTCGATGGCTTCAAACTAACAAGTGTAACGTCTGAGTCATCGCATTCGATACGATGTACTGTATCTCCGTCATTCGCTTTGATGGCCATATTGAGATCAAATACGAAAGCCCTTTCCTCACTCACTGCATATGCATGCAGTAGGTGTTTTTGCATTGCTGTCAAAACTTGCCTATGTTTCTCAGTCACGAAGTAGAGTTTGCTGCAATGGCTTGAACCCATTTGTCGAACGAGTAGAACGCGAAGTACCACGCGCTGTTCGGCTTCATCGATCATCTCTCTGATATCCTTCACGAACTAACGGACTAAACGTCTACCCGTTGTCCAACTTTACCCATAGGAGGATACAGAACTGATCAGATAGGTACGTTCAGCATGTCTCCTTCACGTGGTCATGGCATGGCAGCACGTTCCCCCCTAGTCATTGTTCATTCCACCAAGTCGCGCGCGCATCGATGCCGGAGAACACGAAGGAGTCGGAGGCGGGGGTACAAACTCCCGCGACACCGGCATACGCCCCTTTCAACGATGTCGAAGGTTCACCCAACTACTCGCTGTTCGTGGACGTCTACCGCTTCCGCGTGCTCTTCGGATCTCTCATCGTGGGCGGCATTCTCGTCGGTGTCATGCTGCCGTTCGCCAGCGACGGAGTGCGCGTTCGAACCTTCGAGTCCACCGACATGGACGCAGCCGAGCAGAAGAAGATGCTGGACCGGTACAACTCCATCTCCGGAGCCAATACCGCTCTGCTCATGAAGCCAGTCGACGTGGTGCTGAGTATGGTCATCTCCGTCGCCTTCCTGTGCCTCGCGACCAAGTTCAGTCAACTCGGGGAGCGACGCGCGTACCTTGCCATGGCTGCCGTGGCTGCTGTGGGGTACCTCATGAACACTGGTCTTAGCTCCCTCAACGTCCAAGTGATCTCGGGGGACATCCACCCACGGATTCTCGCCGCTGACCTCGCAGAGCAGAGCTCTAGTGACGACACCGCTCAACAACTGAGTGCCGACGGATTCGTGACCACCACGTGGAGTCACAGCTTCCGTGAAGACACAGCCGGCAACAGCGTCCTCAACACCATCATGCGCAAGCTATTCGTACCGACCGAGAACGTCCCGACGTGGTGCAACCACACGGACGCCTTCGTGTCCCCGTTCAAGAACATCGCTGCGAGCTACGGCTTCCCGTCTCGATCGTGGCAGCAGCTCGCGCTATCGCAAGCTTTAACCCCAACAGCTTCCGTGGCTATGCCCATGAACGCTGCGACTAGCGATCTTCCAGCAGACTACGAACTCCTGATGAACCAGTCGATCGCGACCAACCTCGCGACGTACGCGCTGATAGTGAGCAACAGCTTCCTCGGGTGGTGGAGCTCAACGGACGAGGCGTGGAGCATTTACGCTCCAGGTTACGTCAATAGGAACCAGTCGATTCCCCTGGTCATGGCGGACTATCTGAATCTGACGGCCTCCTCGCCCGATTTCCTCCGTAACCTCCACGGGGTGATTGTCGAGTACTTTGAGAAGGCCGAGAACGCGAGTACGACGGACGAGCTGGCCACGATGGAGTTTTCCCACGTTGATTTGGCTGAGACCGTGGCGTTTGACGCCTTCGCGATCGAGATCCCGACGCAAATGATCGGGTATCAGGAGGACAATTCCTCCAGTGACAACGCCTATCTACGACTACTTCTGCAACACCGAGTCGTGCATTTTAGGGTCAGCAGGACTGCAGGAGTATACCGCCGACGGATCCACGACTACGGTGTACCCGCGTGTTCAAGCGCTCTCAATCTGTATCAACGACGCGGGAGGGGAAGACTTGGTTGCGGACTTTGACTATTTCAGATCGAACGAAGTGGCTCAGGCTTGCGACCAGCGCTCCAACACGTCCATGATCATCGTCAGCGTCGGGAAACGCATGGAGGGCGACGCCTTTGAAGATGACCCCGATGGCCTGGCCGCTCGAGTTGCCAACGCTCGCATAGTGTACTCGTTGACTGTCGGGCGGTTGTCGTGGAGTCTGGAGGACCTGTCCGAGGTCTACGACGCTAGCTGCGCGACTGGCAGTGGCTGCAGCGGCGTCCGCTTCCCCCTCGAGTCAAGCGACCAGCTGCTGGTGGGGGTGAGCGACATTCCCATGGACTTGCTGAGCCCGATCAACCTGAACGCGATCTGGTTCGACGTTGGGTCTTCCCAGTGGACGACGCTGGCGTCGACGGTGGAGGAGGCCCGGGGGGCCGCTCTCAGGACGGATACCACACCCATGTTCATTGTTCTGCCCCGCAACTTCAAGACAATCAACTCGACCCTCACCGAGTTCATGCTGGGCGATGGCATGAAGGACTGCGAGGTCCTCATCGACAACTACCTGAACCACATCGAGAAGAACCATCTGTACATCGAGCACACCCTCCAGCCAGCGTACACTGCCGGACTCTACTATATCTTCCAGAACGGGATGGTACAGTCGCCAATCTCGGCCAATTCCTCTTCGTCGCAGCAAAACTCGCTGCAGTTCGCCGGCAACATCCAGGATATGTACGTCCAAGTGTCCATCCCCACGACGAACCTGCTGCTCGCACTCGCTGGTTGCGCTCTGATCGTGGTGTGCGGCATAACGGTCGTCGCAATAGCGAGACGCGGGAAGGTGATCGAGCATGGCTCAGCGGCGACAGCAACTGAAGCACTGACCAACAGCGGCAAGTTCCCTCCGCTCATGCTGCGCTTGTACCTTCACGACGGAGTTGGTGGAGGCACAGGACCCACGCTGGACTCGCTTCGTGTTGAAGAGGTTGTCTTCGCTCACAAAGAGGACGAGGCGCAGATATTTGCAGTCGGCCAGGCTATCAGCGTCGAGAAGAGCATGTGCAAAGTGACTCTAGAGCCGTGAGGGATGCCACAATTTGCTGGTACCGGCCGGGTATAGCTGTCGTCATAATCTCTTTTTTCATGAAAATAATAAACCCTGGGAGTACATTTACGCCGTGTGATCGTTGTCTTTGGAGACGGCAAAGCGGTGCTTCTGTGTCTTCAGTACAACGACCACAAGTGCCAAGACCAGCGCTGCTGCTGTTATAGCGTTGAAGCTTTGAGCAGCGAACGGGTACGTGGCTGCCTCGGTAAACTCATTGAAGAGAGTCTTATCTTCATGTCCGTAGACGCTCGTCAGGTAGTTCACCATTCCATCTTCGTTGATCAACGACATGCCAATTGACACAGGCCCACCGATGTCAATGTAGCAGCTGGAGCAGCTCGACACTGAGGGCCATTGATCGACGTGGAGTCTCTTGTTGACCGAGTTGTGCATCTTCCAGGCCCACACCACAACCGCATGTGGTCCGTGCGCGTCGCTGGCGGCCAATTCGGCCACTAAACTCTCGGGATTCGCCTCCATGAAGTGATCGCGGCAGTCCTTGCAGCCGAAAAAGTTTTTCATGTACAGTCGAATCGCCGCCATGGTCTCACTCGGTTTCCACGCCTCCTCCGCCTTAAACTCCCTCGTAGTCATGCTATGAAACAGCGTCCACAGCCCACAAGTGTAAGTTTTGCAGACCTCCCAGCCCAAGTCGTCGTCTCCTCGGGGGTCAAACAGGTCAGTAGGGAAGCTCGTTTCCCTCGCAACAGGTCTCCATCGTTTAAGGAGCTCTCTCCACTCATCCATGGACCAACTCTTCTGCTGCTTCATCAAATCCACCAGCTTCCCCATAGCTGCGCGGTTCTCCTCCGTTGGGAACGACACAGCGAGGGCGTACCCACCTTAGCGCAGCCTCGTACCTCTCGCCTTGCAGCACCGGCGTAACAATGAAGAAGCTCTCCTCCAGAGCGAGCATCACAGCCTTACCGGCATCCAGTAGGCGGTTATACTTCATCTGGGCGTACGTATCGTCCTTAATCTCTTTCGACGCTGCGGTCTCAGCCTCTTCCCCGTCATTCCGTCGCAGATTGTTGTTCCCTTCAGCGATAGTCGACACGTCCACCCCAGACTCGATACTGTGCTCTTTCAGCACGTCCTCCACCCACGTGACCACCGACGTGAGCGTCTTCCGTCCTCTCGCCTCCATGCTCACCTTCTCATTCGACTTGAGTGGAACATGGTGGGCTTTGACTGTAGGGTAGGCGTGCACCTCCTCCCGCGTGCAGATCTCCTTGTGCCGGTTGCAATCTACCGCCCCCACCTGCAGCAGCTCGGACTGTGCGTAGAACGCGCCTACCTTCTCCCACTCCGGGCCGAACATGCGGCAGTGCGAGCACCACGACGAGTAGTAGTCCACGAGCCAGACCGAGGCCGAGTCGTTCAGCATGGCCTCGTAGCCCTCTACGTCCAGCGAGCTCACTACCGTTGACCCTTCGAACAGAGGACCTCGGTCACGCGGCGGGGATAGCGCTGCAGCAAGCAGCGGCAGCGCGGCCAGAGTCACGAGGAGGAGACGCGGCATGGTATGTAGTTGACGTGTCTGACTTGATGCGCAAGGAGTCAGTGAGTTCGGATTTAATCGAGTGTATTGACCACATAAGGGGCACATACACTGAAGTTTGTGCGACTAGCGCAAAAAGTAGCCATGCGGACCGTCTCATCAATTGCAGATTGATGCTGTGCGTATGATTCAAGTCCGCTGCTGTATTATCGCTTGATTTATTGAAAGCTTGAGACCAACAGCGCGTTCTTCCTGCCCCTGTGTCGATCATTTCAGAACCCGTCAACCATGGTGCTGCTGATCTGCGCGATCATTGGGGAAGTCAGCACACTCTCTATCGTCATTGACAAGAGTGTGACGATGAATCTCCTGAAAAATGCGATCAAGGCGAAAATTGAAGACATCGACGTTCCTGCACGCAGCTTGCAACTCTTTCTGGCAAAGAAGAACGGCGCGTGGCTTGAATCCGACACCGAAGACGTGAAGAGGCTGAAGACGTGAGAAAACTCGGCTCTTATTACAGAGCTGACACACACAGATCTCGAGCTCCAGGGCGATGCTAGACTCCAAGAAGCGCTGAAAGGGATGCCTAACCCCTCCACCGATCAAATCCACGTGCTCGTACGCGTCGAACAGCCTATTGTGCAGCAAGATGCTAAGCTTATCGGCAAACGCACACGAGTAGATGATTGGTTTCACGACGTGGCCCATTCCTTCCAAACGAAAAGGAGAAGAGTGGACAACGGCGAAAGTGGACACGATCGTAACATAAGGTACTTCACAATGTCCGACTTCCCACCTTTGGAGCATCCGCACGCGAAATACTCCACTGTTATGGAGCGAGAGTCATCGAGCTTCAAAACTACAACTCACTCCTCAGCGACCGGTTAAAGCTACCGAATGACGTGTTGATTTCGAGATACAACAAGTTTGGTGGAATTCCAAGATTCGTCTTCACCAAATCTGACCGAGACGAATCTTTCGAACTGGATACAGCGATTGCCTCCTTTAGCCCCCTCGATGCCATTTCGTTCGGAAACAACAAACCAAGTGAGGGAGCTGGAATCGTGAACTATCGCAGCTTCCACATTCTGGAGATGGTCCCAAGCGAAACTGATTTCCGAGCGAGTTTCCAGTTGGCTTTTTTGTCGAACTACATCGCCGAGAAAGTCATTTCCAGGATGAGCAAAGAGAGTTTACAAAAGCTGTTACAAGTTATAGCGGCAGACTCGGAACACACAGCCGCGCTACGACGCAAAATGCTGCTGCAGCTTGGAGATGAGGCTCAATGGGGACCAGGAAACCAAAACTGAATGCATTTTAAGTGTATATATTGAATTATATAAACAAACTCAAACCTCGCTACCTATAGCGAACGGCTGACTTCGGTCTTCCTTGTCGACTAACACCATACTTTCAACATGCAGTGCGTCCAATAAAGCCCCTGCAGCTTCTCCCGTGTCGGACTCTCGCAGCTCAAACCGCAGCAAAAAAGGTGGGAACTTCTCCAGATTTCCCAGTATGTCTGCCGCCATAGCAGCCGAACTGTGTTCGCGTAGTGTTTGTTCGCCACGTGTGCCCAATACAAAAACAACTACAGTACCCAGTACCATGATAATGCAGCCGGCAAAGGCGATCAGCATACTTGTAGTCGGAATGGACGCTTGCACGTACATATCGAGGGTGTTCCCCGAGAACCCCAACGACATCTCCACCGGATCATCGCTAATCTGCAGCGCTTCATGCACCACGGCGTTCTGGAGGATGAAATACAGTCCTGCCGTGTACGCCGGTTGAAGTGTGTGCTCGATGTACAGGTGGTTCTTCTCGATGTGGTTCAACAGCGTGTCGACACTGCGCTCACAGACCGCCAAGCCTTCGCCTTCCATGAACGCAGTCAACGAGTAATCGGTCGTCTTGAAATTGCGAGGCAAAACCACGTGCGCTGGCCTGGTCTCGGTTTTCAGCGCGGCCCCTCTCGCCTCCTCCAGTGTCGAAGCCAATATTTTCCACTGCGACGACCCCACCGAGTACACGACTGCATTCATATTGATGGGGCTGAGTGAACTCATCGGGATGCTGGTGCTGCTAACCAATAGCATGGCATTGGTACTCGAATTGGCGGCTTGCTCCAGCGGGAACCGAACACCATAACAGCCTCCATCACTAGCACATTCGGCGCCATACACATCAGAGAGATCCTCCGGTATCCACGAAGACACCCCACCGTGAGAGAGTACACCATACGAGCATTAGTGAGTTGTTTAGCTGTAAGCCACAAATCATCAGCCTCTGTGTCAGGCGCTGCAAATGAGTCGCCTTCAACGCGCTTCCCAACGCTGACGATGATCATGGAAGTGGCCGAGCGCTGCGTACATGCTTGCAAGATCTGGTTCGAGTGATAGTAACTCAAATCGACAACCAAGTCTTCTCCCCCCGCGTCATTCAAACAAATGGCAAGGGCTTGAACACGCGGGTACACAGTCGTCTCGAACGTATTGTCGTATAATTTCGCGTATTTGAGCACGTCTGACACAATGCACGCCTTCGTGTTGCAGCTGTAAGCCTTCAACGGGTTATAAAACGGAATGGAGCTCGACGAATTGTCGTTCTGGAGCCCAAACTTTTGCGTCGGGATCTCGATCGTGAAGGCGTCAAACGCAATGTTTTCAGCCAAATCGACGTGGGAGAACTCCATCTTGGCCAGTTCGTCCGTTGTGCTGGCGTTCTCCGTCCTCTCGAAGTAGTTGACGATCACCTCGTGCAGATTACCTAGAAAAGTTGCGTTACCGGACGCAGATTCAGGTAATCTGCCATCGCAATCGAACCTAAGCCATCGCCAGTAGTAGGGTGCATTTCAGTCCCCCAAGCCTCCTTGTACTCCCCCCACCACCCAAGAAACGTGTCGCTTACGACCAGCGCGTACACTGCGAGGTTTGTAGCAATGGAACTATTCATCGGAAGCTCTTCGTCCGATGGGAGCTCGGACTTGGAGGCATTCATCGGCATACTCAACGAACCCGTTGGCTCCCGTGCTTTGGACAGCGCACGCTGCTGCCACGATCGTGAAGGGAAGCCGTACGTAGCGACGGTATTTTTGAACAGATACACATAGTCGTCGGTATGGTTGCACCAAGTCGGAACTTCCTCTGTCGCCACGAATAAATTGCGTAAAATGGTGTTGAAGACGCTGTTGCCGGGCGAATTCTCACGGAAACTCGAGTTCATTGTCGTCGTCAAGAACCCGCTAGCGTCCAACTTCTGAGTGTCATCGTCAATGCTCTCCACAGCGAGATCTGACGAGATAATTCTGGGGCGAATTTTCCCCGAGACAACCTGCAAATTCAGGGAATTGAAGCCGGTGTTCATCAAATAGCCCACGACTCCAATGACGGCCATCATGAGGTATCTGCGGCGGGTTTCATAATAAACGCTCCATTTCGTCGCGATACACAGGAACACAACGGCAATCAAC